ATATATTTAATTTCAAAGTATATAGAACATTATTTACCACTTACATTTTTTCATAAAACTTTAATATATTTTTATATTTTTTGTAATATAGAATAAATTTTTCTACGAGGTTTAAAAAAGCTTATTTATATCTACATATGATTTGTATTGTCTTATGAAAGTTTCATTTAGTTAAGATAATTTATTTTTACATTATGTGTACACGATACTAATATATTAGTGGAACATTTTTAGAAAATCGATTCTAGAAACCAAAACAAATATATAAGTTATTATTGAAAAATATCAATTTATTCATTAAGTTATAAGAAAATGAAATTTGCGTTAAACGCAATCGCTCTATAACTTTTTACATTATTGTTTCTGTTTTCGCTTCAATGAAAACTTAAATTGCTTATAAATTAATAAAAATTAATATTTTTGCATTTTAATTTTTGTTTTGATCTTCTAAAATTAACTTTCCAAAAGTATGTTACGAATATATTAACATTCTGTATATATCTGTATATATACAGGATAGTGCGTAATTCGTAGAATCTTCTGATCTATTTATATTATGAACTATCTTGTATATTCATAAAATTTGTTTTACTTTACTAATTATAAAAAATTATGAAATTATCATTTTAATAATTCATGTAATTCAATTAAATTAATATATTAAATTACTGTAATAATAAATAAAATACCAATTATGGTATAATCATATCAATTATGTAAAGTTTTTTAAATAAAATTAATAAATATTACCTAAATAAAATTGAAATTTACAGATTAAAAATTTACAATTTTATACAATTGTTTAATATAAACAATATATTAATCCAATTATTCTAATCTTTCTTCATATGATTTGTTCCTGGATGGTCTGAAAAATCATTTAATATTAAAAGATAAAATAATTAAAAGATATATATGTAGACATTATAAAAATAAATTTATACCTTCTTCATCGTCATCAGCATCTAAAATATCCGGACAACAAATACCATAACATATTAATGACAAGAATCCTGCTGGTAAACCAAATAAGACCATTGTTAGAATGGGATTACCCATCCACATTGCAGAAAGAGTTGTTTTTAATTCAAACCATGATCTATATATACGTATCAACCAACTATTTCCACCATACCGCTGAAAATGTGTACCATAATATTAATCTTTTTTAATTATATATAATTATTATATTATTAAAAAAAAAATTTTTTTAATTTTTTACCGGAGCACTTTCATTTCGAATTTGCTCTAGGAACAATTCTATCACATGAGGAGTCAATTTTTCGGTTTCATCCTCCGGAATGTGATGATGATTTGTTGTAGTATTAATAACAATTAAACTTGGTAATGGTAAAACCATCATTGCTATACTATTGACTAGATCTGGACTAGCTATCCAACCAAACTGAAAATAACTAAATATAAAAAAAAAATAATTACTATCAATTTTGTTCAAAATAATAATGCGCAAATTACTATAATATAACTTACTTATGATATTTTTCTCGTTTGTTTTTAATGATAGATTCTACCATATCTTTAAATCGTGCCATATGTGGTGGTATTTTTTCTAATTGATTTTCTTCTACTACTGCCAAAACCAAATTTTTATTTGTCAAAAAAAGTTGATTTATGTTTCCTCTTGTTACTTTTGGGAATGTGGGAAAACGTTCTGCATTTATCCATTTATACATTGTCTCATTTAATTTTTCTATATCATCTATATTATGATCTATATTATAAAACAATTATTATTAAAAACATATTATTTAATAATTATTAATATTACTATTTTATGAAGTATATTATTAGTAAAATAGTTAACAATATTTCTATACATAATATTAATATATCACAAATACTTACCACTGAAGTTATAATGTATATTCTCCTTATAAACAAATAATGCTGGAATATTTTCTACAGGAGCATGTTTACTAACAATATTTGGATGAGATTGGTAGAAAAATGCATGTGGTTGGAACACATTTGCAGTCTTATGATAAAATTCCTAAATATATTTATTTAAACTAACATCAATATTAACAATATTTTTACTACATTATAAGTAAAATTAAATATTCATCTCACCCATAATGGACCAGATCGTTCTCCAACATATAAAAAGTATATATCATGTTCCTTTTTAATAGTGTCAAAACTTTGAGTTTTTGTTATTCCCTGAACTGGCGGGCCACTTACTCTTAATGCAAATTTTACTATTTCATCTCGTGTTCTATCCCCATTATATATAAATTCTTGCTCACCTTTTAAACTACATATAAAATATAAAAAAATATTATTTTATGCTTTATATTAAAAAAAATATAATTTTTTTTCTTACAATATAATAGTTGGAAATCCTTTAACTTTAAAAGCATGAGCAACATTCGTAAATCTAGTACAATCAACTCGTCCAACTCGTATTGATGTTGCATGTAAATATTGTGCTACATGAGCCCAAATTGGTTCTAATCTTTTGCAATGTGCACACCATGGTGCATACATCTATAGAAGAAAAACAATTTTTATAATATATATTATAATTATATAAAGAAATATACAAGATAATTTTCTTGTATATAACATTAAGGTAATATTATCATATAGTAGCACTTTATATGAATAATATAATAAGAGAATTATATATAAAATACTTTATACCATTACAAGCCATTGTCCATCTTTATGAATGTCCAAAAATCTATAAAAAAAAGTTTAATAATATAGAAAATTATATAAATATAAAAAAATATTAATATGTATCACTGATATAAATATAATATAAAATTGATATTAATCATAGCATACCTATCACTTAATTCAAGTACACGTGATGCTATTACAGAAGTAAAAGTACCTGAAAAAACTAAATTATGTTTTAATAATAATATATACATAATAACAATTTAATAATTTAATAATAAT